CCGGGATACTGCTTCGCCATGTGCTCTTCGTGCGCCAGGATGGCCTTCAGGTGCAGCGTGTGCCTCAGGTCCTGCAGGTGGACCAAGTCCGTCGAGATGTACAGCAGCGGCGTGATGGGCTGCGTCACCATGACGGGGAACGTGTGGCCGCGCAGCTCGGAGGTGAGCTCGACGGGCTCGTTCGAGCAGCCCCCCTCGCAGGCGTACAGCTGGACGGGCTTCTCCTGGGACTTCACAGAGACGTGCAGGAAGGGTTTCCCTTCCGCGTCCAGCAGGACGGCCAAGTTGATCGCGTCCTTGTTGTAATGGATCCCGCGCAAGGAGTAGCTGTTGTGGAGCACGTCCGGGTCGGCTTGAAACTGGAGGTGGTTCTCGGTGAACTGCAGCCCTCCAAAGCTAAGCACCATCCCTTGCATGAGGCCGTGGGCTCCGGCCGCCAGGAGGCCTTTGCACCCCCGCTTCTGGAGGGTCAGCTTCCACAAATCTGAGAGCTGCAGGACCTGAGGCACGCTCAGCAAGTGTGCCGGCCACAGGTTCTCTGCGTGCATCGTGGCATGGCCACTGAAGCAGTGGTCTGCATAGTTCAGGGTGGCTTCCATTTTCTCCTTTTCCTCGCCGCTGATGAGAGGGTCCAGCAAAGGAGCTGGGGTGGTAGAAAGGACATAATAGAGGGTCATGTTGACGGTCTTGCTGGAAGGGGTGTGAGCATCAGTGATCTTCCTCATTTCTACCCCTGCAACACAAAGAAATGATTTAGATTTGTAAGAATGAACGAAAATGTATACAAATGGCTTGGACCTGCAAAATAACCTACTCAAATGTTAAATATCCTTCCTTTCACATTCTCAAAAACTTTGTAAGGCAAATTCAGTGGAAGCAGAGCTTTAAAAGGGGCCGCGGAGGCTCAGCGGTTAAGACACTGAGCTGCAGACCGGAAGGTTGGTCGCTCGGCAGTTTGAGACCCGAGTGCCGCGTGATGGCGTGAGCTCCCGTCTCTGGCCCCAGCTCCTGCCAACCTAGCAGTTCGAAAGCAAGAAGTTGCAAATGGATAAATAGGTACAGCTTCGGTGGGAAGGTAACAGCGTTCCGTGAGCCTCAGGGTTTAGTCATGCCGGCCACGTGACCACGAAGAAGTCTTCAGACAGCACTGGCCCTTCGGCTTGGAAACGGAGATGAGCACCACCCCCTGCAGTTCGATTTGACTGGCTTTTGAGCAAGGGAAACCTTTACCTTGACCTTACTTAGAGCTTTTAAAAAGGCTGTGAGGCAAAATCTAGGGACTCCTCCCACCCCTGTATATTCAGCATCGTAACAATTAGCTACAAATTTGCTGTGGAATGAAGAAAGTTTAGCCCAAATTGGGGGGGGGGGGGAATTAGTGAATAAGTAGCACCAGGAGACTTTAAATAGAATACTTTTCAGATCAAGCATGTGCCTATTCTTGTTTTCACAAGGCGGCACCTTTTGATTCTCAAACCTGATGCCAACCAAACAGGGAGGGGGAAATGTATTTGCCTAAAGAGCCATACAGGAGCCCAGCTGTGGAAGTTTCAAACCGGGACAGAAAGATCGTGCCCAGTTTTCCCCACATAATATTTAATGTCCTGGAATATTCTGTGTGTGTGTGTGTGGGGGGGGATAAATCAGCCACCTCTTGCCTTTGACAGAGCAGATTCTGGCTGGATTATATAACAGGGTTTAATTCGTAAAATGCAAAGTCACGGCTCTTGGAATTACAGAGAAGCTATGACCTATATAGTCGGCTCCTTTTAACCCTTGCATGCAGGTGAGCTGCAGGAAATGAAAAAGTCCTGGGAAACGCATGGAACGGGAAATAAGAAGAGTACTGAGCCCTGTTAAAGCCAAGTTCATGCGGATACTGATTCCTGCACAACTACTTGAAATGGGGTGAACTAACAAGTCTCTTCTCACACTTTGTATGCCTCAGTTTCCACTGTCCATTTGCCCATCGCAGAAAGGAGGACTGGAAAGCAAACAGCTCTGGGACACACCAAAGTGGTTCTACTCAATACCTTTGGTCTGTCAAAACCCGTGCTGTCTACTCTGACTAGCAGTGGCTGTCCCAGGCAGAAGTCTTCCTCATCACCCATCAGCCAGTGTTCCCTCCAAGCTGAGTTAGTGTGAGCCAGCTCACAGTTTTTTTAGCCTCCGGCTCACACCTTTTTGTCTTCGCTCAGGAAGGAAGGCTCCAGAGCAAACTCATCTACGCAGCTGCCAAATCGCTGGCTCACAACTTCAATGCCAGGAGCTCACCAAGGAGAATTTTTGCTCACAAGACTCCACAGCTTAGGGGGAGCACTGCCTACGACCTGATCCTTTTAGCTGGGGATGCCAGGGGTTGAACCTGGGACTTCTGCAATGGAAGAATGGCTGGCTATTATGCTCCTACACAAGCCGATTCCGACTAACCCAGTCTTAAAGATTCAAGGGAACCAGGGAAGCTGTCAGGACTGAGTCGCCAGGGGCCAGGCGGACGACGCACCCCTCTCACCTGAGAGGAACAGGTCGGCCCAGGCCTTCCGGTGCTCCTGCAGCAGCTCTTCCACCCTCATCCTCAGCACCTCCAGCATCTCTCTCTTGGCCGCCTCCCGGAGCTTGCTGAAGGTGTCGTCCAGGCGGGAGGCGTCGATGGGCTCCGAGGTGTGCACCACAGACACCAGCGTCTCGTCGAACTGGGACTTGGGCGCCACCTGCACCCGGCTGACCAGCTTCTTGGCGGCCACCACCACCAGGACCACCTGGGCACTGTCCGGCTGGAGGACGCGGCCCGAGGAGAGCAGGAACTGCCGGTCGCCCACTTTCTCCAAGCTGGTGACAAATTTGCCGCCGGCCGCGGCCGCACCGCCGGTCAGGGAGGACGCCGAGAGCGGGCCGGAGACCTCGAAGGCCACCTGGCGCTCGGTGGGGTTGACGATGGCCAGGCGCTGCAGGTACAGGTGGGGCCGCCGGCGGTGGGCCACCACCTCCTCCCGGACGGCCACGCACTCCCGGGCCGCCCCGTCGGAGGCCGCCGGCCCGGTGTGGAGGCAGCGGACCCGGTGGACGGCCCCGTCCCGCAGCATGGCCACGGCGGCCCCCCCT